CCCCAAAACCCCAAAACCCCAAAACCCCATTATGCTACATAAGTAGGTGATAGGAAGAAACATTTGTCTTAGACTAAATTAATAGATGACAATAGTAGAATTTAACATTATTTAAGAACGAGATCAATACCTATTATAATTAATATATCAGAAAAGATAAAATTTCAACTTGATTGATGAAACTTGCAAATTTATTAGCATTACTGATATCTTCTATCTTATATGCTACAGTTAAGACTGAGCATTCAGAGAAGCCTCAAGTATAGGCATTAATGGCTGACTGGAGTCCAAATGGGATAAACTCTACAGAAATGACTTTCTATCTTGCTTAGATAAGATCCTTTATTCAAGGCTTCCAACAAGGTTTATACAATAACAACTCATTCAAGCTTTCAAGTGCTTGTCTCTAGTCTTCATTTGTGAATCCAGCCATTCAAGTTGAAGATGCTTTCAGTGCTGGAAACACTTTCAAAATACTAGCTGTGATGAGCCCAATGATCTAAATTGCCTACAATCTTTAAAAAAGCTGCAATTTGAATGAGCTAATTTGGATGCTTCTTTCAGTTTGTGAAAAAGGCTCTTGCAATAGCAGTACTGTTGTCTCGAATGCAACAAAGAATCTTTTTTCATTCACTGGCTCATTTAATAATATCGCTGAAAGCTTCACTGACAGCAAGAAAACATCCTTTACTAACCTAGCTTTAATAAGTTAATAATACAACGACATTGGAGTAGAATTTGGTAAAATGCTAAAACTTTTAACTAGCTTCAACAGAGACAAAGCTGTAGCCAGAAAATTCTATTGAATCAATAAGTAATGACAATCTCCACGAAATCAAAGTATGAAATCAATTAATAAACTTAATTTGTTTAATATATCATCATTAATCTTTTACTTGCTAATCATCAAATTAGGCCCTTTTCATATTTTCAAATATATTTGCTTATTCTTATTAATTTCATAACTTAGTTTAACGGGGTTTTGGGGTTTTGGGGTTTTGGGG